AACCCCATTTCCTAAACTGTTTTTTAATGTTAATTGTCTATTAAATTTAGTTAAGATTATTTTCTATATGATTTATTTACAAATTTATTTAAACATATCTGATTAACTCAAATTGACATGTCTATTTTTCTATCTAAGATATTTTCAGTAACTAACCGAAACCATTAACTTAATTGTTCAATATTTATATATTTTACAATTCGTCTATAACTTTCTATTAATGTAGTTTGATTGGTGTATGAAAGAAATAGATATTTGTAAAATGCGTGTTATTTCATATGAAATATATCAGTTAGTTATATAATTGTATAAATTGAACATAAAGAATTATAAAACTTATTGAATTACTTAGAATACTTTACATGAGTTACGACATATCCTCCAGTTTCAGTAATGTATTCAAATATGAATTGAAAGCTGTTGCCCTAGCTTTAACAAGGCAATGTTTACTGAACTCAGGCATTGGTATGAGTTGGATTATTTTTTAGTGGAAAGGTAAAATAACCCCATAAGAATTTCTACAAATTCTTTATAGGCTAATAATATTGTCAATGCCACTACTAATAGCTTGATTTTTTTAACTTATCCTAGAAACGCATTAGCGAAGTATATTTGTCATTCAGGTTACACAACGTTTCTATTCTCCTGATAATAAACAACGAAAAAAGTGTTTATTATTTCAGATTTAAACATTAAAAATTACTTTTAGGCGTTTATATACCTTTTTATAAAGTTTTTTTTAGATAACCATTAATTACAAATATTTGTTCATCACTGATTAGTAATTAACAATAACGACTAAACTAAACTATCAACAAGTTAAAATTATGAGCACTTTGTTTATTTGTTTCTATAACTCATTACAGTAAGATGATATTTTGTAATTAGCAGTTGAAAATAAGCAATTATTTTACTAACTAAAAACAGTCACTACTCTATTATTTTTCAAATGAAAGTTGTTAAATCATATTTTTTATAAAGATTTATTGCCAGTATTTTTTTTCTTTTATTGTTGTCACATTCTGAAAAATACACCAAAATTTAGATTATTAACATAACGTGATATAAAGTTAATGAAAAAAATGTAAATATATATTTTTTGTTTACTAACTTCGACTTAAGTAAATTAAATATTGGATATTATTGACAGCAGAAGAAAAATGATCAAGTTACCCTGATTGTAGTTACAAACGGACCACGCCCTTTTATAAATAACTCGGAATCATGGAAATTGTTTTGAGATTATCTGTCACTCTTGTGATTTATTAACTTGATTTCTTGACAAATTGATTTGCCATTTTTTGTAACAATACTTCTCTTGGATTTGAAATATAAATTGTAATTGATTCGATGTAGTTGTGGTTAGTAATGCATGGTAATACTACGGTTATATCTGAGAAAATTATAGGAGTTTAAACTTATCGTTATTGTCCATGGATTTTACGTACAACCGTAGTAGAATATTTTTATGCTTAATGGTGATTGGATGATATATTCAATAATAATATTTTTACTAACCATCTTACATTATCGTGGTAACTACAAATTAAAATATGCTTCGTTCAGTATTACCCTATCTGTACTGTGTAATACAATTATATTACTATTAAATACCCAAGTTGCATCTCAAAGAAAAGTTTTAAACATTGTTCAGTTATGAATATTTTTGAAGAATTTTACAACCAAGACTCAAAAAAGACTCAACACAAGACATAAAACATAGGACTGAAACCAAAGAGATTTATCATCATAACAAATAATATACATTGTTGTTAGCTCTTATAATGATATTTGTATAGTCAAACAATATATTTACAAGTATTTAACATCTAAGAAAACAAATGCATAGTTGAAATGTTTTTGTAAAACACGCAAAATGTAACAACTCATCATGGTTAGCAGACAGTATTGTTGTAAATAACGTTCTGTCTGAGAAAAGCAAGGATTATCACTGACTTGGCAAGATCGCTGTATCTCAGTGATTGTTGAGGTAGAATTGGTCCGCTAAATTTAAAAATTGTTATACTGTAATCGATGTAATTATACTATTGTTTACTCGTAGATGAATCCTTAGTCTGTATTGTTTTTGACACTAAGTTGTTATAAGTCTGTAAAATTCATAAAGTTCATCATATTACAACTTAAAAACTTAATAAATACGAATGAATCTAATCTGTAAGCATACAATTTTTACAATAACTACAATACTATTCACATATTTTCGTTAAAATTTATGCTGACCACCATATTATCTTTTAAGAAATCCATAACAAAAACATAACAATTATTGTTGTGCCCGAGATAATGTTAAACGCATGGTTGACCACAGACGTACAGCAAGACTTGGCAACTCACCACAAACCTTGGGGGACTGTTAAATAAACACATAGTCTTGCTGGATACATAAATATTTAAATGTTCAAACTATCTAATACAAATATGATACAGTATAAGTTAAATTCGCGAATGTTTTAAAGAGCCTAGACGTTCTAGCTCATAGAACAATTAAAAACTACAAAGAAAGTTTCTAATCTGACAATTTGTATATATATATATATATATTTAAGTTTTACATAATGTCAATTAATTAACTTTGTCAGGTTGGTTACATGCGAGGATAACAAGAAGGGTGTATTTCCTCCTTCTTCATTAAATGATTGTCACAAAATGTAGACGTCAAATATGTATCTTTATTTATGTTTTAATAAATATGTAAAGTTTGACCAATATGAAGTTCTTCCCTCCAATAACAATATACTAGATATTTAAATTACAATCACTCTGGTGTTTGAACAAGTATTTTTGGACGGTAAATAACTTTTCAGCAGCTGATTGAAATGATCAAAGATAACCGCTAGCCCCCAAGGACTCTTAAATTCGTTGGTTCTAATATATGTTTAGTGGTAACGTTGAACTATTGGGCTATTTATAAATAATTTATATTTAACAGTACATTTGATAAAAAATTTTACGGTAATTTTGGATTTCGATTTATAAAACTTTCTTTCATTTTAGATGAATGATTATTTTTTAAAGAAAAAAAATTCACTTACCAAAATATGACCAATTCAATTTTTTTATATTTACATATTCATCGATTTTATCATTGGAATTGAATACGTAAATTTAATCTAATCTGTAACTGAATGCGTTGGCAAAAACTTTGTAGTTTTAAAATTTTAGAAAAAAAAAACTTAATATGCCACAATATGTACTGTATCAGTAAGGAAATAAACACATTTGTGGCGTTTTTCTAAAAAGAATCAAATAAAAAATACATTACGTTTATTTAAACGTCACATGCAAATGTAGCAGTAGATGGATTACAATGTAGCAATGTTGCTGATGTTGAAGATGTCTCAGCAGTTCTGTAGACTTCAGCAACCCACAAGTAATTATTGGATCCTTACATCAGCACAACCTTAGACTATTATTTTACTAAACAGGTTTACAGTGATAATACTATAATGCAATTTACTTACTTTGAAATAATTTCCTATCGTAGTATTAAAACAGAGTTTTCTATTCTCTAGATGTATTAGGTTTACATTAAAAAAACGATTCATTTAGTCGCTGACGGATGTGAGATGGAGACATAACAAGAAATAAAATTCAAAGTATGATTTTGTTTTTAATATTGCTTAGTCGTAGTATTTATTATGCAATATTGCGGCCAATATTAATATGACTCAAAACCAACATAATAAAGTAATGGAGTAATTATTTCTTAAGTAAAATATATATTTATAAAAAACACAATGACCATAGATCAGTTTAATTCGCATCGTTGAATAGGCATGAATTAAACGGTCGTCTACCGCCCACACTGATCATCTAAATAAATTCATAAAGTTTGGTTGATTATAATGGCTTTCTCACTTATTTTGTTGCTATTAGTTTACTTAATAGAAATAGCTTCTTAATCAGCATTGCGTGTGTTATTGTGCCTCTTCGCAAAGAGGAACAATAATGCTACAACAGTTCAGATAAAAATATGTTCCTAATATTAAAAGTGGCTCTAAACGAATAAAAATAATGCATTTTACAAAATTGATTATAGTGTCCTCTGTAATCACGAAATCCTAAAATATAGCATTCTACCACTGCAAACAAGAATGGCATTTATTTGAAGTGTAGACACTACAACTATTAGGCCTACATTGTATTAAACGATTTAGAGCCCAAGGATAAAACCATTCTCACAAGTAACCAAGCCTTAATAAACTCTAGTTAAGGGATATAAGTTTGAAACCCCACACGCACATGTAAGTTATTTTACGATTTAAATTTTAAAAAGTTAACTCTATAATTTAAATAGGGGTTTGTTTTTATATCTATTGTTTACGTTCGTAGTTAGTTATTTGTATATCAACAATCATGAGTAGTAAGATTTTATATAACAATTAAAGCACGTTAATAATATAATAACTATAATGGGTATACAGTATTACGTCAATCCCTCACCAAAACTAGCCTTGAGATGGGGACGCAAGACGTATGATTAACCTTGACCTAATTATTTCATCGTTATTTAGAAAAAAATAAATTTAGAGAATTTACATATTTGTCGTAGTTTTTTAATCTAAACTATAGGTTTTTGGAGTTAAACATTTTCTTGCAAAACTGTATCTATAAAATGAATGATTGATAACGTGCCACGGTGTTATCAAAGTTCAGTTTCAACAATTCCCGCCACTCCTATTATCAGCTGATTTATGGTGTAGCAGACCACCGGGGAATTATTGATAACAGCCATCAAGATATTAATTGTTTTCATTTTTTTTTACTTTCCCACCCCATTCATAGTATTTGGAGTAAGTATTGTATATGTCAAATTTTTTTTTATTTTGAGGAGATATATCAGTTTTGGGTTCCAATGAATCTAAAAAGTGTTTTTCTAATAATTAGAAAGCTAAAAATCTCACCTGTGGTCCAATATTGATGTAATTTGGTAGGTTGGTCTAGTATCTACGGTTGTTACCAAGGCAACGGCGGTAACCATGACAACTGTGGTAACCATGACAGCAGTGGTTACCATGGCAACATCGGTTACCATGGTACTTGGTGGTGACCATGGAAACGGCGGTTACCTTGACAACAGTGGTAACCATGGCAACGGTGGTAACCATGGAAACGGTGGTTACCATGGCAACGGCGGTTACCATGGCAACGGTGGTTACCATGAAAATGGTGGTTACCATGGCAACGGTGGTTACCATGGAAACTGTGGTAACCGTGGCAACAGTGGTAACCATGGCAAAGGTGGTAACCATGGCAACGGTGGTAACCATGGCAACGACGGTAACCATGACAACGGTGGTAACCATAGGCGACGACGGTAACGATGACAACGGTGGTAACCATGGCTACGTCGGTAACCATGGCAACGGTGATCACCATGGCAACGGTGATAACTATGGCAACGACGGTAACCATGGCAACGGTGGTTACCATGGCAACGGTGGTAACAACGGCAACGGTCGTCACCATGGAAACGCAGGTAACCATGGCAACGACGGTAACCTTGACAACAGTGGTAACCATGGCAACAGTGGTAACCATGGAAATGGTGAACGGTCGTCAACATGGAAACGGTGGTAACCATGGCAACGTCGGTAACCTTGACAACGGTGGCAACCAAGGCAACGGTGGTAACCATGGAAACGGCGGTAACCATGGAAACGGCGGTTACCATGGCAACGATGGTTACCATGGAAACGGTGGTTACCATGGCAACGGTGGTTACCATGGCAACGGTGGTTACCATGGCAACGGTGGTTACCATGGCAACGGTCGATACTATGGCAACGGTCGATACTATGGCAACGGTCGTTACTATGGCAACGGTCGTTACTATGGAAACAGTGGTTACCATGGCAACGGTGGTTACTATAGCAACGGCGGTAACCATGGAAACAGTGGTTACCATGGAAACAGTGGTTACCATGGCAACGGTGGTTACTATAGCAACGGCGGTTACCATGGAAACAGTGGTTACCATGGAAACAGTGGTTACCATGGCAACGGTGGTTACTATAGCAACGGCGGTTACCATGGAAACAGTGGTTACCATGGAAACAGTGGTTACCATGGCAACGGTCGTTACTATGGCAACGGTGGTGACCATGGCAACGGTGGTAACAATGGCAACGTTAGTAACCATGGCAACGGTTGTTACCATGGCAACGACGGTAACCTTGACAACGGTGGTAACCATTGCAACGGAGGTTACCATGGCAATGGTGGTTACCATAGCAACGGTGGTAACCATGGCAACGGTGGTAAACATGGAAACTGTGGTAACCATGGCAACGTCGGTCACCATGGCAACGTCGGTCACCATGGAAACGGTGGTAACCATGGCAACGTTGATAACCATGACAACGGTTGTTACCATGGCAACGACGGTAACCATGGCAACGACCGTAACCTTGACAACGGTCGTAACAATGGCAACGGAGGTTACCATGGCAATGGGGGTTACCATAGCAACGGTGGTAACCAAGGAAACGGTGGTTACCATGGCAACGGTGGTTAACATGGCAACGGTGGTAACCACGGCAACGGTCGTCACCATGGAAACGGCGGTAACCATGGCAACGACGGTAACTTTGACAACGGTGGTAACCATGGCAACGGTGGTAACCATGGAAACGGCGGTAACTTTGACAACGGTGGTAACCATGGCAACGGTGGTAACCATGGAAACGGCGGTTACCATGGCAACGGCGGTTACCATGGCTACGGCGGTTACCATGGCAACGGTGGTTACCATGGAAACTTTGGTTACCATGGCAACGGTGGTTACCATGGCAACGATGGTTACCTTGGAAACAGTGGCCATGATTGTTGCAATGATGTTGTTAATGATTGTTGCAATGGTGGTTACCATGGCAACGGTGGTAACCATGGCAACGACGGTAACCATGGCAACGACGGTAACCGTGGCAATGGTGGTAAACATTGCAACGGTCGTACCATGAGCAAAGGTAACGGTGGTTACCAGTTACCATAGCAATGGTGGTATAAATAGGTTATGATAAAATAGTTTCCATTAGAAAAGGCAGCATGCTTAAACAGTCTTTTGTCAAAGTTTGGGTTTAAAACAGGAAACAATACTCCTTTGTATAAGTTTTCTTCTTCTTGTTTTAAGTCCGGCTGTTAACCAACAAAGCTTTTACTTTAATGAACATCTTAGGTGAATTAAATCTAAGCAAATACAGTTTTTGCAGCACGAATTGTGACAGTACATGTATTTTACGTAACCCAATCGATTTCCTAACTAAAATAAATGTTTAAGATTCAAATGATAAACCTATAAATGATAAACAGCACTTCATGACACTATATTTACATCACTGATGAGATTATTCCTTGAAAGTTAGTATAGTAACATAATGAGATCTTAGCGTTGCTTGCTGATCCGACCAGCTGTTCTCAGCAGTTCTGGAGACTTCAGCACGAGTTACAGTAATTACAAGATTATCCGCGTCAGCATCACGTATACTCAGCACCTGAGGCAGTACCTCGTCTTAAACTATGTTGAAACTACGTCTAACATTACCGTCACTTAAAAAAATACGTTATAAGCTCATTTTATGTGCTTATTCGTTACATAATAGAGAAATCGTTTTATTCTATGATTAGTCTAGCTTATTAGACCACTGCATCGCAATCAAGCCTTTATTTTATAAAAATTTGTCTTTTTAGTTAAATTCGAGGTAAAAAATATGTATAGAGGCTACGTAACTGATTTTTTCTATTAATGTTATATTTGTCTTTATTTTACTATCGTAGTTTTCATCACTAGGAGCAAAAGTGGTTTTTTTTTGTACGCAATCGGAAATACGATTAAGTACCAAAAAGACAATTTAGCTCCGTGTGATGAATGAACAACTATTTATATCGATTGCAAATAACGTTCTAATCGTTAAAAATTTTGACCACATAATTTAAGCTTATACAAAGTCGTCATCAATGTTTACATTTCTGTAGTTTACAAACATAGCTTTAAATATTGTGTGATTAGTGGCGTTTTTATAATGCAATGATAACGTTTTGAGATTAGCGAACCGAAAGGTTTACCATATTTTTTCTGTTCCCTATTTGAAGTTACCTGAAAAAGATAAATTTGCGGACGATTCCGAGAACTAAAAAAAGCTGCTTTCCGTACAGTATGGTGAAAATCATATTTTTTACACTAATGTGTGTTTGATTCAGAAGAATTTCCTGGCAGTTGATTTGCTTACAGAACATATAATTTTACAACTGATATTTAAAATAATGATTGTTTATCTTTCAGGTAAGTTGAAGTTGTTGGTGATAAAATACGCTGTATCCCCAGGTGGTATGTAAAAGAATGTATTTATAGTATTTACACGCTTTTTCTAAATAGATTCACGTATAGATTTTAAAAAGTCATAAGCTTTCTCAAAAAAATTTTGGCATGCTTAATTTGTCATTGGTATTGAAATATCTTTAATGTGCATAAATGTTCTATTGTAATACGAATTGTTAATTTATTCATGCTGTTAAGAAGACACAGAACCTGACAGACTAAACCACTAGAACTTAGTAAAAGTCGCAAATTTATCATTGGTTTAGTACTAACTCACCTTACGAACCCATATTAAGCAAGTGAGTATATCAAATCACAAAAAATAACTTATGTTCAGGTGCCTACAGCTTTAATCATATGATTGACTTATTTTAAACAGAACAGCTCTGAATGGGGTGCAAATAGCTTTTTAAAAATAGCCAGGACTAGCATAGATAACGTAGAAATCACATCGATATTGAAATTCATAGACCACTGGAAGCATTGTAGGAAAGGTACTGTTATGTCTTTTCAATAAAAACGCTGGTATTTGTGTTGTGATGAACATTTATGATTATGATGAGGTGTTATAGTAGCGAGATGAGTTTAGCATTTCCATTTCGATGTTCCAATTTCCCAGAGTGCCAATAGCCATTTGTAATCTTGGATGGAATAACAATGAGTTTATGTTGAAATTCAGTTGTTGATATTGAACAACGGTATTGTGTGTATTTGTATATTTTTTTTATGTACTTATATTATTTATCGTATTTCTATAGACATAAATTGTATGATGTCAGAATAACTCTTTGGTAGCTGTACAAAGTAAAATATTCTTACATACATAATGGTTAGTAATTAAATGAAAATACGATTAATTATTCGTGGTAGTCTAAAATAAAACCTTTTAGCGAATTTTCCCTGTATGAAAGCTATTACAGTAGGTGGTGTAAGACTCATTTTCCTCATTTACATTTCTAAAAATTTAAAACATCGTTCGTTTAAATATTTGCATATGTTTGTTGCACCAAATTACTTACTAACATTACTTTTTACAATTATTTTGGAACAATTCAGTAATCATTCCAGTAATAACGAGAACAAGAACAGCTGCAAAGTCAGTTTAGTTATGAACAACAATTGAATATCCTATACTCTAATACGAGCAATGTTTGCTTGTATGTATGCTTGCTTGCTTGCACCAAGATCTCGAAAACGGCTCCGACGATTTTCTCCAAATGTTGTAAATAGTTTATTCCTGGCCTAAAAACGAGTTTACTGCAGTTAGAACTGCCAACAAAAATCTAATTACGTAGAAAAATGAATCTTAAAATCACTTTTTTTTTACATTAGTCTTATGGGTTGCTAAGTAACCATGTTGGTTGAACTAAATAACAAGGAAAAAGTAAACAAAGGACTTGCAAGCTGTCTGTCCACAGTATACTAGCAAATTAAAAATACAGTACAAAAGGAAAAACATCAGTTGTTACAATTGAGCAAAGATTATACTGAAGATTACTCGATACATTGTAGTCAAGGGTAGAAGTGTAGGTGTGGGATCTGTTTATGACGATTCGATTACGGTATCTGCAATCCAAAAATGTTATGGGAAGGGAAGGAAACAGGTCCGCAACGTAGGAAGTGATGAAGGAAGTAGTAAAGGCGAGCAGTCCGGAGTGTGGGAACTGTTTATGGCGATTAGATTAAGTTATCTAAAATCCTAAAATGTCATGGGTTGGGAGGGGAACAGGTCCGCGACGTAGGAAGTAGTAAAGGAAGTAGTAAAGGCGAGCAGTCCGGAGTGTGGGAACTGTTTATGACGATTAGATTAAGGTATCTGCAATCAAAAAATGTTATGGGAAGGGAGGGAAACAGGTCCGCGACGTAGGAAGTGGTGAAGGAAGTAGAAAAGGTGAGCAGTCTGGAGTGTGGGAACTGTTAATGATGATTAGATTAAGATATCTACAATCCTAAAATGCTATGGGAAGGGAGGGAAACAGGTCCGCAACGTAGGAAGTGAGAATGAAGTAGTCAAGGTGAGCTATACGGAGTGTGGGAACAGTTTATGACTATTATATTAAGGTATCTGCAATCCTAAAATGCTATGGGATGGGAGGGAAACAGGTCCGCGACTTAGGAAGGGGTGAAGGAAGTAGAAAAGGCGAGCAATGTGGAGTGTGGGAACTGGAAACAGTTTGTAGCAGTTAGAATAATGTATCTGCAATACTGAAATGCTATGAGAAGGGATGGAAACATGTCCACGACACAGGAAATTGTGAAAGAATTAGTAAAAGCTAGCAGTGCGGAGTGTGGGGGATGGATTCATGTATCTGCAATACAAAGACTTCTTTCAGAAACTTCTATGCAGTTTAAAGCTTTAATTATATGTAAACTTCTTTGCTAAAAAACGCCATTTTAATGCATATAAATATTGTGTTTTCACAAGTTTTCATGGTAAATTTAGCTCGAATAAAATCTATTTACGGAGATAATTTGTTTTACTCACTAATCGGCACTTTAAAACGACCTACGGTAATAGCTTTTATGGGAGAATCGCTGAAAACTAACGTACCCAATTTTAATAGGAAACAATATAATATAATGTAATATAGGTTCTAATACCATTTAAACTGGGTAATATTTTCTCGTATCTTCTTTGGTGATTCATACGTATTTCAGTATACTTTGATAACATGTGACATGTTCATCACATATACGAGATAATCCGAGTATTATAATCAAACTCCGTAATCCTCTCTTTAAAGATCCTTTGAAGCATTTAAGCTCCGGAAATAAGTTAATTATGCCCAGGCACTGGAAATCCCTACTTTAATTAACGTAACTAAACATTTTATAGGTTCATTTCTTAAAACTCAAAAAATTCCAAATTTTTTACTTCTAAAAGCTCTAAACCTCCCCATTCCTATTTATAAATTAGGTTAAAACTTAATCCATTGCACATACCACAAGTAGGCATATCCTGCTATTTGTATGGAGAGTCAGCTGAAAGTGGTTGAGTGCGGGAGTCGGTTACCATGTTAACAGGTTCAGATCTCTACAATTACCAAAATGGCCTAAGCCACGTGATAAAGCCACGACTTTCTAGGCCTAGTGGTAAAGTGTAGACCCGCGCTAGAGCTTGGTATGGCAAGATATGTCAGAAGGACATTGAACAGAAGGAAAATGGTTAATTTTATATTGGTAGGTTTTTGTGGGTAAGT